TACCACCAGCATAAATGCGTAATTATTTTTTTTACCAAAAAAGTAATTTTTCACTTTTGATTAAGTAACGCACCGTAGAATGCAGATATGGGCATGACAAACACACCTTTGAAAAGCTTGAAGTCTGGCGATTCCAAAAATATATACTTTCCTGGGTCTATTTGTAGTCATTTAGTCACAATTAAAAGATGAAAACAAGTATGCAAATAATAGTCCCGCTACCTTAAGTTTGCATAATCTCGCCACAGAACGTACATCAAATTTGTGTTAGGGTTTTACATACTGGGATTTTCATTTTGTGTATGGCATGTCTGTGATGTCAAAATTATATTGTTGCTTCTTTAACAGGTTTTGTCTTTTGAAAATGGCAAGTGTACTAGAAATGGCTTTCCTGAAATTTAATTTCACAGTGAGCAGGTAGTATTTGTCGATTGTGGAGTGAGTTAACAGTGAATCAAACACAGATTAGAACCGTTAATGTAGTGGACAAGATACAGTCGGTGAAACACTCCAAAGTCCTATGCAACTTGTCTTACCTGTCTGTTTTATAGAAGGATATACTTTTACCATGAGTGATGACAAGAATCGAACCATCATTATTTATATCAAGATTCAAGTTAGACGAATCTAAATCTATCTTCATAATCTCACGATTACTTGCCACATCCCACATCCTATAGAAAACAATGTGAAATCAACAATATGGCGGGTTGTATAATCACAGAGATGCTGCTTTGTGTGTGATGGATTTCCCATCATGTACCATTCAATATGGAAACCAAATACAATTGCTTTTGATGTAATGCATTACTGTATTCATAAGACAGGTTTTTTTTATTTGAAGAATTAAAAAAATATGACAATATTTTCAGGGGCTTTGTAATTACAAAATGTGTTTTCATTGTGGTCAATGGGAACCATGACTAAATTGCCATTTTGTGCATATTATTAAACAGTTTCTGTCAAAAAAATGACTGACTATGAATTACCAAATTCACATACTGATGACTACCCCCCCCCCCCCCATAATAATGCATACATGTCCATTAATATGCTCAGTAGTGCAAAATTTGAATTTGGCTCAAACTGCTTAACATCCTTAAATGCTTGATTTTAATGATTTTTCAGCACAAAAATGGCCGCCATTCAGCCACCTTGAATCAGCTTGTGAAACAAATTGATGTGGATATGTATAATAAATGAATGATGTATGTGTGAAGTTTGAATGTAATCAATCAAGGCATGTCTACGAACACACGAATGCAAAACACAAGTCACCGTTTTCGGACTTCGTCTGAATAGGGGTTACTAGTAATAAACAATTGATTAATGTTTGTGGAAGATACCATTTCAAATAGGGACACGGCTACAAAAACATGATGTACCTAACAGTTTTGTCTTCAGCTGCACTGATAATAGTTTTGCCTTTCTGACACCAGAGGGCATCCCGTATACTAGACGTGTGTCCACTGATTACTTGGGGTTCTGATTCAGGATGATTTAAATCAAAGATACGCATGAGTTTCTCATTGCTACCAGTAAGAAGTCTAGATCCATCCTGTCAAGATAAATATAATTTAAATTCACTGTACATGTATATCACATGAGGCTGAGGCACAGTACAGTAATACTGTAAAACATGTCTTTTTCGCGAGCATGTCTTTTTAGCGAATTTAGCGAGAGAGCTAATTCGCTAAATTTAAGATGTCGATAATGACTTCATTATAAATTCAAAATGGCGGCCAAACAACGTCTTTCTCCACACACACATTTTGTAAATAACACAGAAAATGTAATAATTTAGAGCGCTTCCTTATTATACTTGACAGTTTTTCTTTGTTTTTAAGGAAGTGATAACTGCGCATTTGTTTTGGCACGTGACAGACAAGTGTTGGGAAAACAGGAAATCAACGAAGATAAGAGAGATTTGCTAAATCAACATTTTGCCCATCCTCATGTTACCACAATTCGCTAAAATAGCATGCCGCTTTCTCAACATGTTTTACAGTACTTTATGTTAGCTGAAATGAAATTCCTGGTGAAAAGGCTTTTTGGGTGTTTTGCTGGATTTTATTTTCACTGAATCAGGATAGCTAGGATAAGTTGTAACCAATAATATTTTATAGTACACAGATCAGGGCTGCGTGTCCATAGTTTGTAATGTGTTGCTGATATCTTCTATCAAAGTTTCAAACTATGTTACAACTTACAGTAAGCGAAATTCTAGACTTGCCACGGCATGGATTTTATACAAAAATTCCTTCTCTTAACAATTTTTTTCTATTTTGTGGCATTTGCCAATAGCTATTCATAATATTCCCTTACTCAATAATTTGTGATAAGTATTTGCGATTAATTATCACAATAAACAAAAATAGGAAGTAGACGAGCACTCGCATCAAAGAATGTGTTAGGGTTGCCTAGAACGTCAGCTCAAAGCTCTTATTGGTCAGCAGCTAGTCAATCGTGCTGCTCATTAGCATAAAAATAGCTATTGATATTCACTGCTTGAGTATTGGATTAGTTTTGTAAATGTTCACAGCTACAGTCGTTTATAAATTTATGGGGAGATCACTGATTGTGCTTTAATGCACTATATAGTTTTTGAATCTTTGCCAATTAAACATCAATTCTAACATTTACACTACAATTTTATTATGAAATATCACCAGCAGAAATGTTCAGGTATGTGTCAAGAAGGATGCTTACCTCAGAGAAATCCACTGTTTTCACGATATGACGATGGGTGAAGGAATAGATCTCATCCCCAGTCACAGCACTCCATACTTTACTGGGGGGAAAAAAATAATATCTTTTTCCTATTTTTATTTTTCTAAAATAATTTTGACATAATTTATTTTGTTATCATTAAGGTTATTTTGTGAAATATGACAAAACATTGACTTAGGCGTCATAAGGTTAACAACTATAATATAATAATGTATAATGTCTATGACAGTGTGGATTTAAAGGATATAAAATCTCACTGAAATAAACATTTTAAAGATGCAATAAAGATGAAAACATATAATTTTTGGTATTGTTTGATTTTTATTTTGACTAATGCATTAGACTTGTAGCACACATCATTCATTACCATAAATAAAACAATAACATTCTATAATATGCGTGTACACTGGTTGATTTGGTGCATACAATAACCCCTTTACAGTATTCACTGAGGTTTATATATTACCTTCAGAAAAATACTAGTAAATATAAATGAAGTCTAATAATAATTAATATAGCTAATAATTACGCTACATCCTAAATAGTAACAATTAATTAACACAGATGCTACCATTAAAACACAGATTAGAAACCATGGAAATCTTTGTAAAATTATTTTTGGAAATATGTGTATAATTTGCATTGACAGTTTTCAGACATTTTATGTGTCTGCATTTGTTATGCTTACGCTGTGAAATCTGCAGCACCTGTAGCGGCTCTTTCACCATCTCTGCTCAGCGTGGCACCCCATACAGCACCTTTATGTCCTAGAAATGTGCCAATCCAATCTCCAGTATCACCCTGACGAAGCATGGGCTTGCCATCTACAATGACAAATTTAGACTCTTTAAGGCTACTAGCTGCAGGGGCAATGGCACACTAAAATAATGAAATCTGAAAAAACATTCTACGCCTGCTTGGGACTTGTTGTTGGTAATGTTTGGGAAATTATTAGAATTCTCAATAACAAACTTACATGTACATGACATACACAGTTGAAAAATACATGATGGTTTTCGAAAGAGGCGATTTTTAAAAGGTAAAACAAGTCTTGAAAGAAGAGTTTTTACATAATAGCATTGATCAGGGTATCTGTGTAAGGGCTAAAAATAGAAATTTGGCTGCGCATGCGCCAGTGCCATATTGAATTGCGGACAATGTAGTGCAGTGTTGAAGCCTCGTCGCCGTTACTTTCCACTTCACTTCGCTTCCGGAAGCCACCAGGGCCGGGGCCGGATCGTCCAGAAATCATCGTCTTACATTACTACGAAAGGA